CCAGAAAGGGGCCACTTGGGGAAAGTTTCTGTCTCTGAGCCATCTGTGGTGATCATTGCCAGACAAAGTCCTGTTAGGATGCCATTGATGTGCATCTGTTGACGTCCCTGGTACGTTCAGGGCTGGTGTGTGCAGCTGGCTCTGCTGACAGCACATGCTCCTCCCTCCAGCCCTGGCTCATCACACAGCACAGAAAAAAGGTTTGGTCACTTCAATCAATTTCTGTGGTCAGTAGCACAGAGCAGGGTGGATAATTCCATGGAAAGGGAAGACTTACAGGAAAATACAGTCTATATTGACAAGGCCCGAGGTCAAGGCTTTGCCTTGGCTTTTGTTATTTGATTACCAGATGCAGAAAGTGACCCCAGCTCAAAAGGAATAGCAAACTTAAGTGTTTTCTCTCCCCTTTGCCACTCTTGCATGTCCTTACAAAATCCCTTTCAGGGGTGTGTCCAGGAGCTGGATGTGGTACAGCTGAGGCCACCACTGGGAAAACAAAAGGTGCTGTTAGCCATTATGTTCCCCCTGGATTTCTGCCTCTGGAAGGGAAATGTTTTGCATCTGTGCACAGGCTGGGCCGCTGGGAAGAGGATCTGTCTCCCAGAAATCTGCAGGAGTTCCCCAGGATGACCCAAGTCACAGGAGTTTCCTGTTTCTCTTCTCAGAGGAGTGGTGAATGGTTTGGAGGTCCAGAGAGCCTATACTCCAATTAGCCCCAGGAATGCAGAAGGTTACTTTGAAGTTCTAATTAAAGTAAGTAAGCCTGGACAATATGGATTAGAGTATAAGGTGTTTTCTTTAGGAGCCAAGCATGCTGTCAGTGCTTCAAGTGAGACTCTCAAATCCCTCATGGACTGTTTCTCTGTGGTTTTGAAGCATTTGTGCTTTGCTGATAAAAATTGCAGTTTTTCCCACAAAACTGAAAGCAGAAGAAGTTGACACACAAACAAGTGCTTTGCAGCAGAAGCCCTGGCATCGCTTGGGAGAGCCCCTCCGATGGAAAGATGTGTTCATTCCACTTCTCTCCTTTCATTTTGCTTTTTCAGGCTGTCTTTGAAATCGCAGCCATTTGTCAGCCCAGCTGAAACACTGATTTTGGGAAATGTTTGCCCTTATCCTCCCCTCTGTATTTTACTTGAAGAACACCCCTGTGTCAGTGGGCAGCTGCTCCTGGTGTGCAGACAGGGCTCTGGAGCTGCAGTCTGAGAGGGACTTTGTGGCCCACAGGGCAGAGAGGTGTCCCATAGGCACAGGCTGCATCTATTGAGGTGGACATGGTGGCACAGCCCATTTTGGACAAGTGTCCTCACCTTTATGGAGTCAACCACAAAATTCTTTTATAGGAGATTTGCCTGGAAATCTGTCTCGTGTAAGTCTTCAGGGTTGTCATAAATTTTTATTTTGCGTGGCAAATACTGACTTGAACAGTTTTCCAATACTGCATCTATATGTCACTAGGGACTCCTCAGGGCAGACACAGACTTCAGTACAGGTGTGAAATTCAGAGTGCTGAGTATCCCAGGTGGTTTGCAGAGAAGGGCCACTTGTCCTCTGCCTGTCTTGAAGGATTTCACGTTTCTGGGGTTTATTATGCATTGTATGTTCGAACACAAACCCTGCTCTTTAGAAAAGTGAACAGCTTCTCTAGGACACCTGTGGGAGGGTCATTTCCCCATTTTTATGGCAATTGGTGTGTGGTAGGGGAGAGAAATGTTGCATTTGAGTTGCATTAATAGGATGCATTCACAGGATGACTGTGAAATTTCATGTATAGCGGCTCATTACTCACAGGTTTTGCATTTCAATAATAATAGTAATGATTGTAATGATACCTTTCCTTTATATAGAACCTTTCATCCCAAAAGGAGCTATAGTTATTCTCTGGCAGTGACAAAAGAGGTTGGTAACACCCAGTGTAAAGCAGCCATTTTTATAACTCACTCTGTAGGTTGTGGTATATTTCACACTATTGAGGCAATTTTGGAAAGTAGTATATTATTATTACTATGCAATCCAAGCACTGTTCAAACCCTTCTGTCTCCTGTTATTACAGCATTGCATTTGTGATACTACAGTTAAGAGTAAGGGAGTTGCCATTTACAGAGCATAACCCTCTTTTTGAGTGATTTTATAATGTTAGGGTTTCTCTCCATGTAAAATGGGGTGTGGAAGTTTTCCTCCAGGAGATAATTTTTTTCTTTTTATTTAGAAAAACTCATTTAAAACCCACTCAATCACTTTTCACTTCAATTTTTTCGAAATAATTTTCATGAAAGAAGAATTGTTTTAGTTTCCATTACCCCAGTCCTTTAGGAATAGGCAGTAAGTGGGCCTGACTTTTCTGTTCTTGCCTTGGGTTTCCAGATGTGTTTGAAGAAGGGAGGTAAAAAATTTGCTTCTTTGAAGCAAGTGCACACTCTTTGCATGAGACTTAACACCTGCCCAGAGCCCTCTAACATAAAATAATTCTGACAACTCAGTGGCTGGATGTGTGTGTGATTTACATTTTGAATGTAACAACTGGTGCTAATACTTCTTAATATTTCAGGTTTAAGTGAGAGGCTGGGAGGGGAGGAGCATCTGTGTTCTTTCTTAGCTAACACTGCTTGCAAGCACAAGCACAGGCTCCCTCACTCGCTTTCTCTGAGCTGCTTTGTGGTTCACCAATTTTGTTTGCCTGCAGTGCAGCTTGGTGGCCAGCCAAGGCACTGGGGTGTGGAGCCAGGCTTCTCTCCAATGCCTGTGCAGGAAATACCCCCAAATACACTTCTTTTGTGTGGGCTGGAGTTGCCAAAGGCTTGTATCACATCCCATTTTCTGACCCCTTGTTGTGTTGCTCTTCCCCAGGCTTATCCTTGTGTGCTGCAGCTTTGGGCTTTTCAGCTCTTGCTGTTTGGGCCAGTCCTGGTTCTCTGGCCCCATCCTGGACTGTGGCTGCTCTTTGCTCACATTTTTCTCTTAAAACATTCAGTGGTCACACATTTAGGGCATGGATGGCAACATGACTGCTTGGACAAGCCCTTCATTTTTCCAGCCTCTCGTCCCTTCTCTGTTTCCAGCAAGCACTGAGCCCTTCTCCTCAGTCATGAGTGAGATCAGCATTCCTGCAGGCAACAGCCTGGATAATGTTTGTGCCTGGTAGAAAGTGAGGCAGGCTTTTTGCTCGTGTTTTTCTTCCATGGGGCCAACATTAACATATTCTTCTGGAACTGTGGAGGCATCCCTCAGCATCCAGATGATCTGTTCTGAAAACAAAGAGTTTTACAAATGAGAAACCCGACTTTGGGTCACTAATTGTATCAGTGCAGCATCTGAGAGACTGAAACAAAGCAAGAGCTATGCGGTGTTTATATAACTAACAGTGCCCAGAGGGCATTTCCAGACCCCATACCCTGAGATTTGGAGAACACTTGAAGGCCTGCGCTGTGCTTTGCATTCGAGACACTCTTCTCTGTGTGCTTTGTAAGCAAGAACTCTGATAAGCTTTTTCCAGTTTTGGAAATTCAGGCTGCGTGAGAGGGGGGTTGTGTTTACATTATAGTCAAGCTGGAGTGGCTCCAATATGATTCAATTTAAATGTCTTTGTTTTGGGTATAACTTCGAGTTATTTTTCAAACAGAAAGATCTTTCTTTCTTTTTTAAATACATGAAATTTTTTTGGTCCCCTTTTCATTTAAATGTAGATAACTTTATAATCGACTTTAAGCTGGGAAACTTTCCAACAGAGTATAATTATTCTTTTCTTTTGTGCAATGTTTTTTATTAGTGCTATGAAGCTGGGCTAATGTCACAATACATAAAAACGTGGAAAAGAGGAGACGTGGTCTTTTGGCGTGGGCCGTTTGGAGGGTTCCCATATCAGCCTAATAAGGTTAGTTCCTAAAAGCCATAGGGTGCTTCAGCCTGTGGCAGCAAGCTTTCTTCAGTACTCAGAAGGGAAGACATCCATTTGATTACTGTTTTCATGATTATTTTAGAGACTTCCTGGGTTACTGTACAGTGTGACAGCATTAGCAGTCAGTTGGAGCACCTTCTTGAACTGCAGAATATTTAAGAGAGGAGGTGGATGGGAGACAGGAAGATATTAGCAAGGCTCCGTGTTCATCACTTGCATCAGGAGTTCCTGATGTGCCAAACAAAGGGAACTTTGCACCAGCAATGAGTGTGGATGGGTTTTTGCCTGATTTGACCCACATCTCTGTGTTGTGACTGAGTAGGGGCGTAGGGGAGGTGTTAATCTCCTCCTCTCTCGGGTATTCCCTGAGCTGTTGAGGTGTCAGGTCGCTCCCCAAACGCTGATCCCACCTGCCAATACCAGGCTGGCTGCAGGGAAAGGCTGATCTGGTTTCAGGGAGAGGCTTCTCACACACACTAATTCAGTTACTTAATTCTGACCTTTCAAATGAGGAGCAAATTTGAAACACTGGTCATTAAGATCCCAAAGCCTTTTGGGGTTTTTGGTGGATTTGGTTTTGGGTTGTTTTTTTTTTGTTTGTTTGTTTTTTTACCCTAACAAAAATAAGTAAAATCTGAGTGGCCAAGCTCTATGCAGAGCAATTGTTTCCTACATCTCGTTTCCTCCAGAGGACATTCAGGATTTTACTTTGCAGCAACCAAGTGAAACCCAGGGAGCATTTCCAGTGGAAGAAAACACACAGTGGGTCAGCAGAGCATACTGCAGAATTGAAACTGAAACATGAATTAATTGAAATAAGGCTAAAGTTGGGATAAATTATTATATTTGGGTAAAATCCGGTTTTGTTAGATTTGATGTGTAAACTCTTTAAGTGCTATCTGTAATCCTTCGCAGAAAAATACATTTTGGGATCTGAATTTACCAGTTCATGACCTTCTGGTATGTTGTTTCTCAAGAGACCCTTTACCAGGGTGGCAGCAAGAGGAACTCCCCATGAACACACCCATTTCCAGGCACCACAGCTCATTCCAAATTCTCTGTTTTGTTGTTAGCATGGAGAACTCCTCATGCTGGCCTCAGGCACCGGCCTTGCACCAATGATTCCCATCCTCCAGTCCATAACAGATGATGAAGAGGATGAAACCTTTGTAACTCTTGTTGGCTGCTTCCCTACCTTTGACAAAATTTATTTAAAACCTCTTCTTCAGGATTTGGCTCGGTACTGGAATATCAGAATATTTTATGTCCTAAGCCAGGTAAATAAATGGATATGAAGTGTGTTTGTGTGAAGGTTCTGTGTGCTGAATGAGCCTCTGCCTCCTCCACTTTTCCATAAGAACGATCTTAATGATTTTCCAGTCATCCAGCCTAATTTGTGGTCCAGTAGCTGCTGTTCTTAAATCTGCTACATGTACTCACACTGCTGCTAGTCTGGAGAATTTTGGGGAAGTGGCCATCACTGTCCTCTCTGCCTCCCTGTTCTGTTGGGATGGACCTGCTGTTCCATAGACACTGTTGGTTATTCCCCCCATTTCAAGCAGTTGTTGCTGCATCTAAACAGCAAATAAGCTGTTTTTTCTTCTTCATACCAGTGCCTTAATCTGTCCTTATCTTCCATTCTTTGCTCATGGCTACAGCTCTCCTCTGGTGTGCTAGCACCAACTTCCCAGCAATTATTTTTCCTTGCTGACCCATTTTTAAACTTCTAAAAGTTGTTCCCCCTTCTGTAAAATTACTTTTCTGCCACATTCATGGGATGAGGGCATACCTCTCAACGGTCTTACATTTTGAGCAGTCTTTTTCATTTCTATTTGGTCCCAAAGTTGCCTGTGTTCTGCATGGATTTGGTGGTTAAAAATTATTTCCGTCAGAAATGAGGATTCATTGCTGGGAGGATATAGAAAGAATTATTTATGCTAAGGGAATGAATCCCATTGCATTTTTAGTTTCTCAGATGAATCATTTCTTGTATCTCTCACAGTGGAACTGCCTCATACATTCTGTTCCACATGTGGCCTCAGGAAGATGAGATTTGGTAGAGGGGAAAGTGCTGGTGACTTGGGCACCCCCTCAGCTGCTCTGTACGAGCATAACCATAATTATCTCTGGTGACATGGCTTAAATGCCCTTTTCTGGGTGTTTAAACTCTTTGACTGCTGTCTCAAGAGCATGAGGAGGTCTTGAAATTCAATCAGTGAAGGGCACGAAACCCACCTGACCCCTGTCAACACTGTCTGCCCCTCCTCTCTCCGTTTTTCCTCTCTCCTAGCAGGTTTGTGGTAGTCCAAGGCTGGCTCGTGCATCCTCCCTCTTGGGATTATGTATCTGTCTGTATTTCATTGTGCTGCCTGTCACCACCACATCTGAGCACCTTCTGCTCCTGATTAATTGCAGCAGGGAAGTCCCTGCTGGATCCAGCACCACTGGATCTGACACTTCTCATGGGATCAAAGCTGTATTTGGAGCAGAGCTGGCTTCTTTCCGTTTTGGTCAAGGGAGATGGGACTGAAAGAGACTTGGGAATGGGAGAGGCAATAGAGAGGAATAGACTTGATACTTGGGAATAGGAAAGGTGCCCTGGGAGATGGTTCTTGATGGAGAAAGTTCTGCAGTGTTTATTAGTGATAGTTACACTCTGGTTTTGTTCAGTCCCCTCTGAGCAAGGTCCTGTGGCAAGGAAAGATTTCACCTGGGCTTAGGAAGAAGAATGCAGCTCTCAGGAAGGGTCAGTGTCACCCACATGGTGTCACAAAGGTGAAAATCATCCTGTGCACTACTCTGAGGGGAGGAGGGAGATCCAACTCTAAGCAATGTTGTCCTTTTTAATGTCACACACAGCAAACCTTTTTCCTTTTCAGGAATCTTCGCTGGAAAAACTTCCTCAGAGCTATCAGGAAAACACGTACACTGGTCATCTCAATGAAGACCTGATGAAGACAATAGTAAATTCCTGTCGAAGAAAGCCATTTGTATTAATTTGTGGCTCGTCTGCATTCAATGAAGATATGAGTAGATACTTGAAAACTGCAGGAATTGAAGAAGACTCCTGTTTTGTCTTTTAGCAGTACATTCCTGACCTGAGGAACCTTAGGCTGAGCCTTGGATGTCCTTATTTCTTTGCAGACATTGCACAAAATGAGCCTGCTCAGAAGACTGAGCTCCTTGGAGCAACTATTTGTTGATGCTCACTTCGGGGTGTTTTAAGGAACAGGTGCCATTCCAGAGTGGCTGGTACATGGTATGCCACTCATGGCAATTTTAATGGAAGTATTCAAGTGCAATTTTAAGAGATAGATCTCTTAAGGGGATATTAGAAAGTATCCATGCATACAGCTGTGCTGTAATATGAAGATTAGTGACTTGCTTTGCAGTTCATGTTATTCTGCAGTGATGTTGTGTCCTATTAGGTGTCCAGAGGAGAGAATCTTCAGGGATCCTTGCCAGGCCAAGGGGACAGCAGAGTTGGGATCATTTTGGTTCTGTCATGTGCAGGCTGGTGTCAGGCAAGTCCCCTCAACCTCACTGTGCCTCAGTTGCCCATTGTACACTAATACAGAGAAGGTGGCACTGGTCTCTGAGAACAGGCATTCCAACTATATATGGAAAAACTATCCATAAGGATGGAATGGTACATTTTGTCTGGTGAGAACTGAGGCAGGCTGAGCTCCTGCCCTGGCACAGCCTGTGTTACCTACCCTGTGCTTAGCCCTTGAAATGCTGCCTGGGGAGACGAGCACATCCTAAAACTGGGACAGCATGGCTGAGTTGTGGCTGCTGTCTGTCAGGGAGGATGGTTGTTTGCTTTCCATGTCCCCTAAGTGTTGTATCATAGCCCTGGCTCATTAAATTGAACCTCTTTACAAGTAAGCAGCTGTTTGGTGTTGTCACAGGACTCTCTCAGGTGCCTGAGGAGGTTCCCTAAGCATACAGGAACACCACCTGAGGAGGGAAAGCTGCGTTGGGTCTTCTGGGGTGCTTCCCTGTGGGACAGGGAGCAGAGCCTCAGGGATGGCAGCCGGGCACAGCACCCAGCCTGGGCACCTGCTCCCTTTCCTCTTTTTTCAGTCCAAAATGCTGCTGCTTTTCCTCTGAGGTATCTGCTGTCCATTCTTTTACCTTCTTAGACTGCTGTGTTTAGTATCTATACCTGGAAATACAGCTTTCCTGCACACCTTGTGTTTTTCTGTTCATTCCCAGTTCATCCTGTGTTGGGGTTTTCCAGGCTGTGTCAGGTGATTATTGCATTATCATTCATGCTTCTTTTGTACCTGTGTCTAACATTACACCTTACACAAAGGAAATGTCGTTTGTTACACAAAAACCACAGTGTGCACTGAAGTGGTGGCTTGATTCACACATTTGGAAGGGAGTGTGAGTTCCCTTTGCACTGCTGAGATTTGTCTCCAGTTACCAAATGCTTGGAATTAATCAAGTGTAGCTGCAGCTTTTATGTTAACTTCCTTGGAGAAAGGGCTGACAAGAAAGCCATCTTCCTAACCCAAACTGGGATTTTGGCTTTAAAGGCATGGAAATCCAGGGAAGCTGTCATCTCCAATCCAGGTTGTGCTTCAGCCTCCCTACGTCACTGTGTAGTGAAGATGCTTCTATGCACACAGGCTGGTAAAATAATGAGATGCTTTCTCCAGGTTGCTCTCCCTACTTTGGCCTTAGCTAAGAATATGGAGAAAATATTTTTTGTCAGATATGAAGTATTTGAAAACCTTCCTTCTAGTCCTCTAGCTTTAAGTACTATGCATTTTTAAGATTTTGCTAAAACCCCACCCCACCTTTTTTTGCAAAGGCCCAAGGTAAAAAACTTCACGCTCGCCTTGGAAAAGCGCCGGCTTTCAGCGTGAAAGCTGGGACTGTTCCTTTAAACACAACCCCAATATGTCTGGGTATTTCAGCACATATGGGCCACGATGCTTAAACCCTACCCAGCTGGTCCGGCCGTTCTGCCGTGCAGCTCCGTCTTTGTTCGTGGCTCAAAGGGAGGGTGGTGAGAGACGGAGCAAGCTGTGAGTGCCGCGGGTTGCCATCCTGCAAGGGCCGAGCGGGAGGAGCGGGGCTTGTCCTGCCCGCGGGGACAGCGGCTTTGCGAGACATTCTCCACGGGGGAGATGATGTCCTTGGAAGCAGGAGCTCGAAGGAGGCCTTTAAACCGCCCGCAGGCATTTTGTTCTCTATTTTTCTGCCCTTCTCTCCCTTCCCCCTCCCTCCTTTTGTTGTTTCTCAGGCTGGCTCTAACACGAGTCCCCTCGTCCCCACCATCCCCCATGGGCACAGCCCCTTTCAGAGGATGGCGTGGATTCCTGCAAACGCAGGGATGTGGAGTGGAAAAGCTGTGGTGCAGAATATTCCTTGCCAGGGGAAGATGAGAGGTTTCCTTCCCTTTGGAAGCCCAGAACCACCCCGTGGTGGCAGTTTCGTGGGGAATTTGTGTCGGTGCTGTTGGTGACTGGGGTATCTGAGGAGCTGGAGGTTTGGAGCTCGGCTGATGCCCAGCCAGGGCAGGGGCTCACATCCTGCCTCTCCTGCCACTTTTGGGATGCTCCTGGTCTCTGGCTACCCCCAGGAAGCCCCTGCCACCCGTGCAGCACTGTGCAGGGGAGAGGGGCTTTGCTTCGCTTCCTTTCTTCTTCCTCTTGTGCAGCCTAAATACCTTCTTAATTTCATCTCATTATTTCCTGCCTAAATAGTTCCCGTTACTCCCGGGGACCGTTTTAAAACCTTTGATCTTCTCTGAAGTCTCACAGTCCTGATCACGTCCTTTCTGTTTAAATAAATCAAATGCCTTTTTGACTCATGATTTATAAATTTGCCCACAGAGGAACAGAGGCACACCTTGAAATCACCCACTATGTCTGTGGCTGGAGCAAAAGTACCCCGGGCTGATCCAGAGCATCTTCCGTGCCTGGTTTCTCTACTTCCCTGCTGCATGTCACTCTCCCCCTGCCTCCCTCCACCCTCCCACCACTCTTCAGCTGACAGCCGGGTTGCCTGGGCTCAGGCCCAGCCTGGGAATGGCCATCCCCGGGTCAGGAGAAGGGTGAACATGCCGGGGATTGATGGATGCTGTCTCCTGGGAGCGGGGCACAGCTGCTGTGCTGCATAGCCCTGGCCCCCCATCTCCTGGGAATCCCCAATGCAGAGCACAGCTAAGGGGAGGGAGAGGAGCAGCTGTGCAGGTTCCAGTGTCCTGGGCACTGGCTTGGTGCTGAGGCAGTGGTGGAAAGGCTGGGAGACAGCGGGTGCTGCCCAGGACGGATGTGATGGGGATAAACATGTTGCTCCATAGTGCAGAGATGCCGAAGTTGTTCCTGAGCCCAGGCGATGGTGGCTGGGAGGGCTGAGCACTCCTCCTGGATGAACCAGGGTTGTGGCAATGGAAAATACCCAGGAGAGGCCCCTGTGCCATGGCCAGACCTGGCCTGCATCTTTGCTGTGTGGGCCTACACTTGTTGACAAGGACAGACCTCCTCTCCATGCTGTTAGGGAAGCAGCTAATTAAGATCTGTAATGTTCCTGGGAGGTCAGTGGGAGATCTGCCAGCGTTGCAGCATCTCCCAGAGCCTGCACTGGGGCAGGATGTTCACACGGTGCCCAGGGACAGGGGGAGCTCCCCTGCTCCTCCTCATTCCACATGCTCTTAGTCCCGATGCTGGTGGGGTGGCACAGTGCTCCATGCCCCAGGACAGAGCCCAGTGTTCCCTGCCTCAGCTGGGCTTAGGATAGAGGGCTCCTGGCTGGGATGTCCCAGTGCTCCCGGCAGCCCCCGGCATGGCTCCAGCAAGGCTGGGCAGTGGGGAGAGAGCCTGTACAAATATTATTGTTGCTGTTATTCCCCATAAATATATGCAGGCACTTAATGACCTTGGCATGGAGCATTTCCTGGGGATTCATGACCAGTTGGTGTTAATGGTCTTTAGCTGCACCTCAGGCCATCAGCTCCTCCCAGCCCATCATTAATCCACAGGAAATGTCTCGGGCATCGATCCTCATTGCTTAATTAATAAATGCAACTTGTCTCCTGCCTGAGATTTAGAGATACTCACTGCTTCTCTCCCTGCTGCTTTGAAGGTGACTTTTTTAGCACAGGTCCCTCACGTTGGGAGGCCCTCGTGGGATTTTGTTTCCTGGCATTCATGTGGGTGTGGGCTGTGGCAGCAGGAAAGTCTTTTCTCTCCTGGGCGGGAGGGAAGGAACTGAGCTGCTGTTGGATTTGGGGTTTCTCCAGCTAATGTGGCACAGCACAAGGAGCACATCATTCCCACCAAACCCAAAGGCTTGATTACCTTCAGCCGAGTGGATCCAAAGAGCCTGGGTGAGAAGTAGCGTGAGCCAGCGTGGAAGAACATGGCAATTCTCCAAGGCCTTAGCAGGTTCTGTAATAATCAATGCTTTTTGCCCATGAGTCACAATTCATCTCTAATCTTCCTCGGGGGAGGTGGGATTTGCTATCTTTAGTGCTCACGACTGCTGCTTTCCCGGGCTGAGCATCCCACTGAGCCTGGACTCCTGCTGCAGGGATGCTGACCTGGCAGCCACGTTTCAATCCTGCTCCCTGTTCCTCTAGCCTTCACCACCAGCTGGCTTTGTGCAGTGGGTGCCGCAGTATAAATCATGTTAATTCCTGAGATGCTTTTCCGCGGTAAGTCTGAAATTCCCATTTTGGTTCGCTGGCGTGCCTGGTGAACTAAATTATTTTCATAGCCCCTTAAGGGCATATTGTCAGCCCAGACTTACTGCAGTTATACACCATTTCTGAAACATTAATATCTCTTCTAAATATAGTGTATTGACAAGGTATCTGGTATAGTGTAAATCCTTGGGACATTTGATCCAGATCATTAAAACTGAGTGAAGGAAGGGAGGAATAGATCAAGTTACCTTGCTGCTCTTAATTCAAACAAGCGATGAATTATTCATTCCGCTATTAATTCTACAGTCCTCCTGCTTTTTATTTATTTCTCTCTTTATTTATTTTTTTTCCTCCCAGATAGACAGCTCCAAAAGGATGCTCGGGCACTGGTGAGGGGAGATTTGCCTGCTGGAGGATGGGGTGCACAGGGCTGGGCTGTCTGGCAGCACTGGCCGTGCTCTGCGGGGCTCTCGGGGATGCTCCCAGCAGAGGTAAGAGCCTGGTCCCAACTCCTGGTGGGCTGGATGGGCACCCATGGTTCCTGAGGAGGGGAGGGCCATTTGCAGGTGCCACAGTGGCTCTGGGGTGTGAGTGGGTTCCAGCTGTCCTGCAGGGAGAGAGGCTGGCTCAGGCCCGGGGGAAGGAGCTGGGATCTGGAGTCGCTGTTGTGGTGGCAGCAAGTGTGGGATACTGCTCTGTGCTTGGGTTTCTGCTTCATGCTTACCTTACTGAGGTAGGGGTTGTCCTTTTGTGGTGTGCAGGTGCTTTGGTGAAGAGTTTGTTAGCTTCTGGAGTTGCACTTGCCTATATAAATCTATATACACATATACATTTATATGTGAATGTATGCATGTATGTGTATGTGGCAGGCATGCAATAAACCTCTTACCCTACCCTGATAAAAGGTCCCCCAGGATGCAGGGCAGGGTTAGCAGATGACACAGTAATTCAGGGGATAGGGTGGCCCAAGCAATTCCCCATCCCAAAACAGCAGGACCTTTCTGACAGAAGGACTGAGCCAGAAATCAAAACCTATCCCTGGCCCTGGTGCAGGTGCTCCTGAGGCCACACCACTGCCCTGTGGTGTCTGCTCATCCCTCACATACACCCACCTGGGCTTCCCAGAGCACCCCAAGGCTCCCAGCCCTTCATCCATCCATCTTCACCGTGGCTACTAACCTCTCACACAGGCTCCCCTCTTGGGTATTTACTTCAACAACATTATTCCTTTAGTACCAGCCCCATATTACTTCACTGCCTATCTCCAATAATTAGCAAGGAGATTTTAGATCTGGCCAGACACACACTCGTGGTGCTGCATCCCACACATCCCAGGACCCCCCTTGCTGGGAGGTCAGTGTGCCAGTGAGCACGATGAAAAGCAATGTGCACAGGCTGACTATTGATTTGCAATATACTTGGCCCAGATTGATGGCAGCGAGCGCCCAGCCTTGTTTGGGAACCCACACATGTCTCCTGGGGGCTGTGCAGGGTCTGCATCCCTCCCAGACATGATGTATGTTCCCCCTGTATCAGCCTCTTCACCCCAGCCCTAATCAGACCCAGGGGCAGGTGACAGCCGGCCCTCTCTCAGCCTTATTTTATCATAACCATGTCTCAGTATAAAGATTTCATTAGGAAATCGATCCCTACATGCATAACTCATTGTTCAGCATATCAAGCTCTTCACCCCTGTTTCCCCCAGCTCAAATTCTCTGATACCACTACTAAACAGAGGGCGTGTGGTCAGTGGGAGGCACAAAGCTGAAGGGCTTGGGCACCACTTGCGCCAGCCTGGTACCACTGAGGCTTTAAAACTCACTCTCAACTTCCTTTTCTCCTAGCCATAAACAGGTGGGGATGCTGTACTGTCACTGGCAGGACAAGCTCAAGGGTACAGCTGAGCCCTGCTGCAGCTCCCGCAGGGCAAGGGGGAAAAAAGGCTACACAGAGGGATGAAAGGTGATGGGGGCACATGTGTCCTCCAAGGAGAGTGGGTGAACAAGCCCAGTGGAGTTCTGCAGGATCCTGCTGTTTGGGTACTGTGGTGGTGGGATGGATCTGGTGTTGTGCATCCTGTCTCCATTCTTTTAGGCTTCCCCTGGAAAGGGGACATCACACCCACTTCTGTGTCCCCCAGGCATCAAATGTGGGGGAGTACTTTCAGCACCCTCTGGCAATTTCTCCAGCCCCAACTTCCCAGGGCTGTATCCCTACGAGACAGAGTGCACGTGGCTCATCGTGGTGGCCGAGGGCTCCTCTGTCCTGCTCTCCTTCAGCCACTTCGAGCTGGAGTACCACGACACCTGCGCCTACGACTACCTCCAGGTCTACAACGGGGCTGCCCGGGACCGGGGCAACCTCCTGGGCACTTTCTGTGGCCACAGCCCTCCTCCACCCTTCTCCTCTGCCTGGCACGTCATGGCCGTGGTCTTCCACTCCGACCGGCACGTGGCCAAGCACGGCTTCGCCGCCGCCTACAGGAAAGGTAGCAGGGAGGTGTGGTGGTCATTGATCATCCATCCATCCATCCTCTTTCCTCTTCCACTGCCCTCATCATCCTTGCCTCCTTGCAGATGCCTGTGGTGGGCAGCTGACGGGGCTCTCTGGGGAGATCACCAGCCCACGCTACCCCGAGAGTTACCCCAACGATGCCGAGTGCCGCTGGAGCATCGGGGGGGCCAGCGGGGGTGGCCCCCTCACCCTGGTGTTTGCTGACTTCCAGATGGAGGGGGGGCAAGGCTGTGGCTTTGACTACGTGGCCCTTTTTGATGGCCCCACCGTCACTGCCCCCCACCTGGGACGTTACTGCGGCAGCGCCCGCCCGCCCCGCACCATCTCCTCCACCCCACACCTCCTCATCATCTTCAAGTCGGACTTCAACATCGGTGGCAGGGGCTTCAAGGCACATTTCTACTCGGGTGCGGGGGTCTCAGGGCGCTGGGGCAGTGGGAAGGACATGGGGACAGGCACTGGGTTGGGGTGGTGATTCTCTCCCTCCCACAGAGGCAAGAGGAGATGCTCATGGGGGGTTCCACTGGGGAGAGACCATGAGATGAGGCTGGGAAGTGTAAACCACCACACAATGCAAATGGCATCACTGTGGCTATTCCAAGCCCTGGGCTGCCCTCTTGAGCAGGAGTCACCCTTGCTCATGTTATTCCCTGGGGATGTGGGAATGTAATGGGGATATTGCTCCTGTAGGACTCTTACTGCCTTGGGAGTTTCCATCCCCCAAAACTGCTTGGCTGTCCATTAGCCAAACACAAGGCTGGGAGCAGTGAGGTGAAGGGCAGAGCATCCTTTAGCAGTAAAACAAGTTACCACTCATTCACACCCTGGAGGCTTCAGGTTTACTTTTGATTTTTCCTTTCCCCTTTTTCCCTGAGCAGGCGAGTGCCAGGAGGTGTTCACCACCATCAAAGGGAATTTCTCCAGCCCTCAGTACCCCAACTTCTACCCCAACAACCTCAAGTGCCAGTGGAGCATCCAGCTGCCCCCAGGCTACCAGGTCAAGGTCTTCTTCCTGGACATGGAGCTGGAGGGCCGGAGCAGCCTGACGGGGGGCTGTGACTATGATCACTTGTCTGCCTTTGATGGTGGCACTGAGAATGGATCCCTGCTGGGACAGTGGTGTGGGCGGGAGAGCCTGGCACCCATCACCTCCCGCAGCAACCGCCTGCTCCTGGTCCTCCACACTGACCGTAACACGGCCAAGAGGGGCTTCTCCATCTCCTACGTGGGAGGTAAGGTCCCACTTGGGTGCTCCTCGGTGCTGTAGTTCCACTGGGACATGCCTGAGATCATGTAAATTCCAGAAGGATCGTCAGTGAAGGTTCCTGTCTGCAGCAGAGCCCATGGCTCCTTAGGGATGGGGCAGAGGGAGACGTGGTGAGTGAGCTGCACATTGTGTTTAGTATTCAGGAGATGCTTTTTTAGTATTCAGGAGATGCTTTCCAGCTTCAGATTCCTGTGTGTCTGCCACTGCCATGCTCCTGTTCCTCTCTCAGGGTGTGAGGGAGAAAAAACCCGGGGGCTTTTAGTGGGCCAGAACTCCAAAGCATGTGACCAGCTCAAGCATCACAACCTTGTTCTCTGCTCCTCTGGACACTCCAGCCTTGCCAGCACGTGGCTGAGCAGGCAGACATAAACCGTGTCCCCTCCTTCACTGGCAGCAGCACAGGACGGCAGGACCCCCGGGACACAGCATTCCCAAATCCACCTGCCAGCCCTGCCTGGCACACCCCTGCTGCTGGCATGCCGTGTCCCAGCCAGCATGTCTGGCATGTCCACAGCTGGTGGGAGGAGCAGTGTGTAACCTTCCTGCTCCATTTGCCAACCTTTGCACCTCAGACGCCAGCAAATTTATGGCGTTTGTTGTATTTCAGTATAATTACATCCGAGCTGACCTGTGGGTCAGGGATGATTCAGCCAGGGCCAGCCTTTCCAGAGGGCTGGAGACACAGCAGGGCTGCTGGACTGGCTGCACAGGCGCTGGGGAGGCTGGCCCTGGGTTTTATCCCTCAGCTGAAAAATCGTTCTTCACTTCCAGAATAGCAGAAAGGATTTGGAGGTATGTGGAGTTAAAGATAGGATAGAGTTTTGTCCTGAGCCCCTGGAGGGAGAGAGGTAGTACTGAATATTTAGAAGGGCTATAGTGTGCACAGCAAGTCTGTCCCTGTCCTTGTCCTGCTGTAAACCTCACTGGTTTACAGCTGTGTGAAGGGGAGAGAATCTTGGTGTCACTGCTCCAGAGGGAGCAGCCTGCAGACAGATAGATGGGGTGCTGCTGAAGAGGGGGGAATGTCTCATCACAGAGAGGGGTGTGACATCTCCCAACTGCCCGAGGCTCCTGCATCCCCTGGTGCACGCTGCCAGATGCATGCTAGGGGAGGACAAAGGCTTGGATGTGAAACTGAGCCTCCCTCCACAGAGCTGAGCCTGCTGACTGTGTTTGCCCAGTGATTCCAGCATCTGCTTGTGATTAACGTCCTGTGTGTCACATCCAGCTGCCAGCACTGCCGGGAGAGCGGCTGCTCCCACCGGGCACATCAGCCTCCTCAACAGCCTACACAGGCAAAGGGGCACCTCAGTCTCACTGCATCCACACCCCAGCCCTTCAGCCATGCAGATATTTCCCTTTCAGGCCCACCAAAAGGCATGGCTTGGGTGGGGCGTGTGTGATTTATGGCTGTTGAAATGAAAGCCTTCACGCCAGGAGAGAGGATCCACTTTCTCCTCCTCTTGATCTAATGCACTTTAGTTATTTGGTAAATCTTCTAATGGTTTTATAATGCACTAAGCGAAGCAAAGTGACACTGTTTTTTCATATTGATTTTATTGCATCTTCCCAGTTTCATAAGGCCGAGATTCAGAAGGAGCTGGAATAATTCAATAATTCATATTGCCCAAGTGGTTAGTTCAAGCTGAGCAAGGATTCACTTTAAAGAGGGGGGTATTCTTCCTCCCACTCCTTTCCCTGTGTGGATGCTTTCTACATCCAGAGAGGCCAAACATAGTGCCAGAAGGAGAGATAGAGAGGGACTGGAGTCACCATTGCCTTGCTCTTCATCTTAGCATCATGGGCAGCCCAACAGCAGCTCCCTCCACACACTGCTCACCAGCTCCCCATCAAAATTAGCATTCTGAGGACTGTGGAGAGCTGGTGATGCTTGAAACTCTGCCTGGGCTGGGCCATTCCCCAGGAGGATGCCCCAGCACCATGGACCCAGCTCAGCCTTTCAGGAGGGCCATGTAGCACCTATGAAGCTGCATCACTCCAAGGCATGCATGGAGTCCCCCCAAGATGTGTCTCCTGTTTCATCAATGTAGTTTCATCAACCTCTTGCAGGGGTGTTATAGGATGCAGGGGAGCTCTGTGCCCATGGCAAGCCATCCACAAAGCTCTCATGGTCTGGTCCTGGACAGCACCTCAAATATCCTGCTGGCTTTGCAGTGATGGAGAGTGGCAGTGACAGCAGGATGGTGTCACTGTGATGGCACTTGCATGTCACTTGGAGACTTGAAAAGGAGGATAAGGTTCAAGAGGGTTGATGGTGAGATCTCTCCCTTGGGCGGAAAGCAGAGCAGTGCCTGGGAGCCATCCATGTCTGCCCTTGGCATGAGACAGGGCTAAAATACTGATATTCATTGCTTTCTGAATTCTGGAGGCAGCTTTTTACCTGAAACCTCCCCACACGAGTCCTACACGTGCACCCTCTTTTCTGTCCCAATAGTTGTGCCCATGAACGTCAGCTGCACCCGGACAGACTTCCACATCCAGATCCCCGTGCAGTCCCTGGCCCAGCTGGAGAGGAATAGGATTTATTTGGGGACCCCCTCCTGTGCAGCCCAGGTGGTTGGCAGGAACTTTAAAATACACACCAGGTTTGACACCTGCGGCACTGAATCCCAGGTAAGTGATCAGCAAACCCTCCTTTAAAGCAAGCTGTGTAAATGGTTAGCCCTGTGCTGGCTGCAGAGAGGTATTCCCACTCCCCCCAACATTTTCCCAGTAGATACTGGCCTGATTCCTGGCCAGCCCCTCCAAACCCCTTGGAAAGGAGCTGCACAAAGCCCTGATGAGCCGTGTCTCTTGTCTTGCAGAGACGCAACAACACGTCTGTCATCGTCAGCACCCTCTACATTGATTTTTCAGTGGGAGACCAGGAGGACATCCACCAGTACGAGGTGCAGTGTGAGCCGAAGAAGAAGGAAGCCTCAGTGACCCTTATTGCTGGCCCTGATACATCCAGGCTCAGCCAGGCAGAAAACCTGGTGGACGCCCAGCAGTGGGAGGGGGAAGCAATCGATGCCCCCGAAATCAAGAGCCAGGACACCAGCGACATCGTTTTCATCAGCATCTGCATCCTGGCTGGGCTCCTCATGGTCATTGCAGTGGTGGGGCTGGTGCTTCTGTAGGATGCTCCTTCCAGACTCCAGGGATTGCAGTCCCAGTCCTGCCCAGGGCAGGAAAATCCACCCTCGCCCCAGGCTGAATGCTAACACAGCCGCCCAAACAGAGACACAGAAACTGAGCCTGAACCCAACCTCCACCTTCTCTTAGTGCCTGAAATTCTGGGCAATAGGCAGCCATTTCCCTTCCCAATTTGTTTTCCTCTGTCTCAATCTGTCCATTTGGCTCAGGAATGCAATTCTTGTGCTCCCTAACTCTTCCCGCACCTGCTTCAATTTGTTTTCCCTGTAGTGCTGCTGCTTTCAGGAAAGTAACGTTGTTTGCCGATGGCTGCAAATCTTCCTGTCAATTATTTCTAGCTGAATTCTTGGAGGTACAAACCATCCCCAAATGTAGCTATATTCCCAACAAATGTTCTCTGTGCTCCTGGCCCATGCTTGGGGGGGACTGTGGAGCTGTGTTACAGGGATCTCCACCTGGCACACACAGATGTAGCTCATGTAGGTGCTCCCAGGTGATGTTTCTGGGTGTCTGTGGGTGATGTGATGAGATGCATTTGCTGTGCCCTGCAGCTCCTCGTTTGATCTTCTCATGTTGTCTCACCTTCTCACAGGACTCACCTGAGCACCTCAGCCACCAGCAGCTGGAGGGGAGGAGAACAATCCTCTTCTCCTCTGTGTTTTCCTCCTTTCCAGCATATCCAGGTGTTCATGGCTGTGAACTCTCTACCAGCATTACTTCTGAAGTTTGAAAACGTGGACAAATCCTGCTATGGCTTGGAGTGCGGAGATTTTGGTAACTCTGTAAAGACAACCTTGGCAGGAGGGGTTGGCTCCCCTGGGACCTCAGTGACACCAGATTTCCACTCGTGGTCCTTGCAGAAGGTGAGCTCAGCATCTGAGAGCATAAAAAGAGGAGTCCTGTGATCATCTGCCCCTCTAGAAAACTGGGGATCCTTGCCAAGAGCCCTGATGGATGGCTGGATGACCTCTGCCTGCCTCTGTGCCACCCCAGCACAAAGGACATTCCCCTTTAGCATCAAAGAGGGGGTGGCTGTCACAGCAGCCTGTGGGTCAGAGCCAGCATGTGTCAGAGCCACATGAAATCTTGCTATGGAAAGGGGCCACCCCTCCTCCTCCAGCGTTTGTGAAACACACTGCAATGCAGGGAGAGAACTGTGGTCATTTGGGGCACAGCAAACCCCTCGTGCTGTTGAATCCAGCATTTAGCAGGGACTGGCAGGAGAGTCCCATCGGTGACAGGCTGCCCTGACTGATGTTCTGCTTCCCTCTGGGACAGTTCTGTTCATCAGGGAAGCAGAGGAAGCAGCAGCAAAGGAATAGGATGATGATGGAGCAGCTTTCCCTCCTGGATTGGCACTGAGAGAGTGTCTGGGGAGGGAAGAAGGCACAGGGCTGTGCATGCCTCCTAACGAGGAGCCTTCGTTATTGGAGCCCGGATTGATTTGGCGTTTGTTGGTGCAACACATCGGCAAATGCGAGATTTCCGAGGGAAATATTTGCCAGCACCGTTAAGCTCCATTAAGGGAATGTTTTGAGAGCCTGTTGTGTGCAGGGATGGTAAACAAGGCCAGCCTCCCCCGCTGCCTGCAAAGCCTCGCTGCCGGTTAATTGCTGGGTATAGAACTGTCAGCTTGAGACCATAGTTACAAGATTTGACAACTGAAAGAAACTTAAAGATATAATTAACCTTCTTGGTGGCCCAGATTTTGCTGAAACAGGTGAGCACTGCGGCTGCTCATGCCTGGCAGGGAGCCCACAGCACCCAGCAGCATCCAGCCCTTGCCTGCAGGACAGTCACTCCTCACCCAGCTGGAGTCTCCAAAGCCCTGCGATTTGCAGGGGAAAAGGCTTTTCTGGATAGCTGTTGGTGTTGCATTCAAGTGAGGAGTTGGACCTGGTCACTTCAGGGATGGTTTCCAGCTCTGGCTCCAGTTCACAACCATCCAAGCATCTCTGGGTGAAGTGCTCCCCCTGCACACATCCCTGTGGATGCAGGACTGGTGCTGTGGGAGCAGCTCTGCTCCTGAGTCAAGGGGATCCTCAGCAGCCCCAGGCCTGCAGGGTGTTATCCAGGGGTCTTGGACAGGGTGATTAATGAAACTTGAATGGCTCCAAAAGCCCACTTGTTTCTGATGGCATTCACAGCATCTGCCACCAGCAGTGAGCCACTCGAGCAGTCATCTCACTTGGAGCAAGGAAAGCCTCTGGTGCTCACCAAACACCAGCCCTCCTCAGCCTCCAGTCCTCCTTCACCATGTCTCAGCCTCTCTATTAGATTTAGGCATGCAGTCTCTCCCTTCCTTGCAGGAATTTGCTCACTGGCATCCCCTGTTAAACCAGGTCTTCCCTGACATACTGCCCCAGCTGGGGATGGAGCCCAGCAGAGGGGGGACTGCCCAGGTAATTTCCTGAAACAAACCCTTCTTCTCATGTAAAAGCTGCTCAGATGAGTGGCAAACAGATATCAGGAGTCCATCACCAGCACTCCTTCCCTCCACCATGCCTGTGGTCCTCACACATCAGGCCTCAGTTCCCCTCTGTAGCGTTTGCCCAGTGCTTCCCGAGCAAGCAGGAGAGCAGCGGGCGTGGGCAGTCCTCCCGTTGCTCATCTGATTATTTATTGATGATAAATAAATCCATGATGGCTGGATTGAGTCAGGCTGGATGCAGCCTCCCTGTTTCCTGGCTTTGCTTATGGAAGTGGAGTCATGTCTCTCCAGAGCAGACAAAGGCTTGGCTGTTGTGCAGAAGGGAGAGCCTCTGTTATCCCTCTGCAAACGTCTGCGTGCAAATCCAGTGAAGAACTGTTGGGAAATTGTAGATCATAGAAAATAGGACTGCAAGAGCACCCAGGGGATCAATTGGTTTATTCCTCTCCTTCCCTGGGGAGATCTCTTCTACTGGAGAGAAGCTGTGCTAAAATATCCGAAAAATCTCAGCCATGCTCTCTGCGTTTTCTCTGTTTACCAGGAAGGTTTTCCTGATGTGTCACACTGTGAGGGTGTGCTGCTATACTGGACAAGAGAATGATGGTGGAAGTGCCCCAAAATGGGCACTGCTGCTAACACAAGACCCTGCTCCCTCTGCCCAGAGACCCTGGGCACTGGGCAGGACTGGGCATCCCAGCAAGCACAGGGTGTGATCCACCCCTTCCCAGGCTATTTATTCTATGCAATGTTCACTGTATGTTTTCTGTGGTGACACCCATGGTCCTCCATGGGTGGACCTTCCCCCATTGCTCTGCTCAGAGGGTTATTTGTGTCTTTTCAGTTTTTATTCTCTAATTCCAGACTGGGAATGGGGTGTTTGTGATGCCCAGGGAGCCAGTGCTGGAGCTGAGCCCACAGTGTGTGCATCCTCTGCATCCTCTCCTTATACATTTTTGGGTAATTTAACAGGGACTGGCCCTTGGGCAAGCACAAGGGCAGTTCATGAGCTGGAGCAGGAGCAGGTTTGCTGCTCCTCAAGGACCACCTTTCTTGGGGGTTGGTGTGTAAGGCCAGGAGGCCACCAGCCACTTTTGCCATCAAGCCAGCCATGGCTCCCCAGGAGCTTGGCATGGATGGGGCAGTGGGCATGGTTTTGTGCTGGGAAGGATGGAGCTCACAGCTACCTACTGGAGACCCTGGCCAGAGTGGCACAGATGAGGAAGCAGTAGTCAGGCAGCCCAGCCATCTGGGAAAACATAATGGATCAAGCATATGGACAATTAAAAATGCAATGACGGCATTTACCAGGAGCTGTTTTCCAAGCTTATTTTAAGCCCAGTTTCCTGATCATCACAGCCCCAGGGACAGTGAGGGCCCTGCCCTGCTCGTGGGGATTTTGGTGTGTGGAGGCTGAGTGCTCCATGATGGGTGGAAGAGTTCACAGCTGGATTTTGAGCTTACAGTGATGTCTTTGGGGATAACAGATTTTATCCTGCCTTCTCCCTCTGGCTGGCTCTGCATGTTGCAGCCCTCCTCCTCCTCTTCCCTCTATCTGGGACAGGAGTGCAGTGTTTGCAATGTGAATATTCCAGCTCAGGCAAAATATTGGCCACAGCAGAAATTATTTTGGCTTTTGCATTTTTCTTGCCATTGGGGCTGGCTGTGCTAGAGGAACAGTGTTTGTCCATAATAGGAGCACCCTTTATAACGAGATAACTGCTTGCTAGATAATAATATATAATTAGCAAGGATCATTCCATAATCTAGTTTAATTGACAGAGACCATGGATGTTGTTCAGGGGACTGCCAGCACAAGGATTGGAGTGTCATTAATTGCAGTGTAGCACTGGCATGGGCTTCTCTTTTTTTTTGTTTACTGTGACATGTAAGAGTTCCTTTGTGCCTCAGTTTCCCCTCCTGTGAGGTGCCACCTTCACCCCCTGAATGTTGCTGTGCCCTCCATGGAGGAGCAAGGCTTTGCTGGTTGTGGTCAGCTGGGCTGGAGAATTCCCTCATGTGTTTCCCTCCCTCTACCTCTTCTTTACTGCTTCCCTCTGTCCCTCCACTGCTCCAGCCCCCTATTTCTGCTCCATAACATACCCTGGAAGTTCCTGGAGCATCCTTCGGGCTCCAAGGATTTCTGTGGCTGCTCCTTGCCTTAATGTCTCTTAATCCAGGGCCAGTTTAGCCAACCCTTCATATTACAGGGCTGCCAGGGAAGCAAATGAGATCTAAAAGTTTGGGTTCTTTGTGAAGAAACCTTTGAAGAGCCTCTTGAAAGATGAAAACTGAGTGAGCTGCTGAGCTCTCTCTTTTCCAAAGAACAGGGAGGGTCTTGTCTACTCCCATCTTCTTTCACCCAAGTAATTTGCAGCAGGACAAAGCTCTCCTGAGCTGTGCCTGCTGATGGGGAACAGAGCAAGCTGTCACCTACTGCCTTCCCAGATTTGCTCTTCAAAGCCAGGGTGAGAAGTCAGCTCTGGCAGGAGTGAATTTCCTCTTCCATCCCTCCTGGTGCTGCCCTGAGCCCAGGCTGTATTCCCCAAGCATGGGGAGGGGGATCAGGAGGTGACACCTCCAGAAGGTGCTTCTCTCCTCTCTGTGCTGGGTGTAGCAGGCCTCTAGAGGTCTGCCAGCTTTATGTAGGTACTCCTTTGCTGAAAGGAATCTGTGGGATGGGCTTAATCTGGAAGAAAAAAGGGAAAAATAAGAACTTTTCTCTAGACTGGGTGCCTCCCTCATTTAACATTTCCTCTGTTAAAAGGGAACCAGCAGCTTCAGTCCCCATGCCAGAGAACCCAGGGGAACCACTGCTCAGCCCTTCCATCCCCCCTTTTAATCCAGAAGGGTTTCCCCAGCATGAAGACTGGGCTGCATCACCCACAGCAGGGATGGAGGAGCCAAGCAGCAGCAAACTGATTCAGCAGGTAACCCAAGGCACAAATAACACACAGTGCAGGTGAGGCTGCTCCATGGAGGGAATCTGGGTTTTATAGACTAATTAAAAACTTAATTAGTGCCAGGTATCAAGTATCCTGTTGTCATATTCAGCATCACCCTTTGGGAGAATGAAGCCCTTTTTGGCCTATTCCTTTCCCTTCTCTGTTTTTGTTTCCTTTCTCTACCTTCCTTTCTGGTTTTGTCCTTAAAACATTCCCTGGTTCTCTCCTGCTGTGGGTCTTGAGTCCAACTCTCCAGACTCTTCCAGCTAGTTTTCTGCAAAGCTGAGTCTGTGAATCCTCAGCCCAAATGTTAGTGCCAGCTTTAACATCAAAAGAACTGGACCCAGAGCTTTACACTTGGGTTCCTTTGAAACAAGTTAGGCAAAAATATCAACCATTTAAGAGGAAATTTATAGGAGAGTTTTCTGCTCATCTGCAGCAATTCTGCATCTTTGAAGTTACTTTCTAAGTGAAAAATATTTAGCACAGCCAGACTGTACCTGACCTGTATGGGAAAGTTCTTTAGCCTGACTTTCATTAGACCAGGAGTTCATCATTTTCAGGAATTTTGCTTGTCACGTTACCCAAACAGAGAAAACACAGCCTGGCACCAGGAACAGGAAGCTGAAAATAAACACTGCAGGTCTTGGCGTTGCAGCTCTGAGCTGATTGCTTGTAAGAAATTGAGGGTTTTCCCATTTTTTGCTACTGCCTGGTCAAGTGTTACATTTGACTGAGTATCACCCACACCATCACCACCCACGGATCTGCCAGTTTCTGCCTCCAACACACCTGACTTTAACTTCCTACAAATGAAACCTCTGTGTTCAGCTGTTTGAGGACACCTGCAATGCATACAGGCAAAACTGGTCTTGCACTGGCCCAAGCAAACAAAACAGTTTAAGATATTCTTAAGAGAACCTGCAATTATCTAATTATATTTATGGAGTTCAACAACTCACGTAAGTTTTAGGTGTTTCTTCTAAAGGTCTACAGATGAAAAAGTATCTAGCAGGTCCCAGTCATGACAGTCAATCATTTTTTAGGTGAAGATATGAACACCATGCCTGGAACAGCCATAATAATAGCTTATAGAGAACAAGACAACTTCTGGCACAAAAGAAATCAGAGCAAATAGAGGCAAGAATTCCGATTTTCAATAACTAGAAAGAATTTAAACAATAGTTTGTTGCTTAGATTTGCTCATGCAACCATTCTGAACCATGTTCCTTTTAGAGAAAGAAAAAAAGCCTTTAAAAGAAATATTTTATTTACAAAATTCATCACAAGATTTTTTCACATTACAGTAAGAACAAGCACCATGTTGACATCATGAGTGAGGTCTGGAAGGCTGAACGAGCTGCTCCTTGAACAGCAGAGGCATCAGACAGCACCTTTACCCCGGGCTTTAGAAAATGCCCAAATCACAAGATGGCTGAGATGATGGAAGTAACTGAAATCCATTTTGCATCCAGCTCTGGAATGCAGCAAAGGGAAATCACTGTGGCAAAACAGCTCTTGCCACAGGCAGGGTCCAGCTGCAGCAGACTTGGCTGATTTAAGGTTAACTAGAGTTTGCAATTATCCTCCAGGAATCCCCTCCCATGGACCAATTACCCATAATTCCCAGTATTTCCAGCCAGCACAGCATAGAGCTGCTCCTTCAAAAGGGTTATTCAGCTGATTACACCTGAAGATGCACGTCAGGGATGGAACTAAACTGAGCTACAACAAACGGGCAGAAGAGAGAAACAGGTGAATGAAAATACACAGAAGAGCAGAAGAAACTTTCCTTGCAACAAGCCCACATGGATTTCTACCAAGTCAGATTTACAGCACCCATTCCATCATTAGTTCTTCCCTCCAGCAGACCTGTTCACAGAGGGGTGCCAGGGAGTCACCTGCACTCCCCTCACCGCAGGAAGGGCTCCCAGCTCCATGGAGATGCAGGCACAGGAAGTTCTCCCTCGGGATCGAGCACAAACACCTCACTTTTTATGGCTCTGTACAAAGGCAGGGACAGTGAGTGTGCCATCCTTGACTCCTGCCCGGGTCTCAGGTTTGTGCTTTAATGAGAAGACAAGGGCTCGCACGGCCCTGCGATACGGAGCGCTAATGAGGCGGGAGCAGAGATGAAAAGCTTCACGCTCAATATTTTCAGCCAGTGGGTGATCAATCTGAAAACAGCAAAGTATAAAATTAGATCTTTACATTTAATAAGGAGGCCAGCTGATTGAAATTGGAGTTTGGTGCCTTTCGGTGTTTCTTCATTAATCAGCTTAGACTCAAGGAAATCTGCTTCCCATCACAAGTGTAACAGGAAGAGCAATTTAATTCCACCCTGGCAATTAAGGGACAAGGCAATGTGGTCAGTGGCAGGGAACATATCCCCACCTCCAGCTGGGTGGCAGTACTTTGCCATCACAACAGGAAACTAATCTGTGACAAGCTTTGGGTATCAAGCTCAACTGCAATTATAAGCTATGCTGTAGTGTCTCCATAAAGCTCACTTTTGATCTTGCTGATATAAGGTACCTTGGATACTATTTTAAACTTGATTCCAACAGCAACTCTAAGACATGCCAAACGCTTGGCAATTCTGCCTGGTGCTATAATGGGAAATGTGGGCTCTCTGTGTGTAGAAGGAGGTGTAATTAGGAACGCAGAAAGGGATTTGCTAAATGTTAATTATGTAGTTATTGCTTCAACACGTGCCAAAACCTGTAATTCAGCATAGTTTAGGAAAAAAATCCCTCACCCTTCAAGAAATGGTTTCAATTTCACTTCTGCTTTTTTTTTATGGGGAATCTCCCATGCATGCAGGAGATAACGAGTGAGCTAAGTAGTATTCCTGCAAGTCCTTCACCACACAGGTTTTACTACCCACCAGCAAAAAACCCCTTGGATCCACTCAGTCCCATCTTCCCTTCTCGTTTTTGTCAGCCTTGACTTATTTAAAGGATAATTAATGAATAAATTGAAAATTGTAATTATTAGGGCATTTCATAGATCAAGCAAGCTAGTTATTAGGCCTTACAGCAAAGGCTTGTTCATTTAGTTAAACATACCTGAGGGAGCTGCTATTTATCACTTTTGTATACTGTCAACCTTGCCTCTCAGTTTTTGCTATAGATTTAAATTTACAAATATTTAACTAGGAAACACCCCAGAAGTCCCACTGTTGCTTTTATAGCTGTTTAGTAGGAAAAACTTCATGTTCTATTAATTTCCTCCTTGTAGAGCCCAACTGCAGTGGCCACACAAGTAAACAGGTTATGGAAATGACAGCAAGTACACCTTGCTGGTTACAATTAGCAGGTTCACTTGGTTAACAACCAAAAAACATTATCTACCTTGCAAATGAAGTTACTTATAAATAGGGATGTGCTGGGAATCTCTAAAAATAGGAACAGATCACCTGGTCTTGTCCCCACTCTGCAGGCAGGACCAGCTTGGCAGTAGCTCCAGCTGGAAAAGGTTTAACTTGCTCCCACAAGAAGGAATTTTTGGAGCCACAAAGTGGCTGTGAACTGTACTAATGGATCCCAGAAACCTGGGGTTTTGAGCTTTCTGTGCTTTCTGGCACTGACCCCCTGGAGAAACACTGCTTTTGACCTGAGGCCTTGGAGAAGACTTCCAAATTTGAGTAATGGAGTGAAAATCACAGGTCTGTAGTTAAATAGAAGTGTGCTTTCACATGGCGAAGGGTTATAAATTTGAGGTTTTTATAATATATTAATAGGTATGGGACAAGATGGAGGATTTTTGGGTGGTGTCTCTTTCAGTGTTCATCTTCCTTCTTCTTCGTGGTTTCAGGTAATAGTTTCTGGTTGGACAGTTAGTGCCACACTGAGGGTTACAGGAATTTAGTTACTGGGTTAAAAGTATAAATAATACAGGTGTTAATTCTCTATTGGACTGTTTAGCTTTAAGAGACTTGTAGCTAGCTGGATCTGTCTCCATTTTGCTCGCTTCTAGCAAGTGGTTATAAGTATTGCTGAACGTTCTGTACTTTAGATAAGATTTAATAAACAACCAAGCCCAAACACGAGAAAATCCATTTCCTTCATGTATTTTTTAATCCTGGCTCTGAGTGAAGACAGAAGAGACTTAAGACAAACCACTAATGAAGTGGTGCAAAAGCACCCACCACTGTTACACTGTACCTCTAATTCCAGGGCTTCAGAGAGCAGCTTCCGAGCATTCTTCCTGAAAGCCTCGGTCTTGGGATCACTCCTGACCTCAATGGGGGGCCTGTTGGAGTGCTCCTTGATGAAGGTTCTCCACTCCCTGTAGATGTCCTTGGCGAGGCTGGACACGTCTGGGTCACGGTGTTTGCGCATCGAGTTCACAGTGTGACCTGGAAAACAGAACAGCTCCTTTGGGACTGCCAGGTGGGGAAAAATACAATTTGTTAAATCATATCTGTGCTAAAGCAGACACACACATCCTTAACTCCAGTCTCAGCAAAACAACCAAGCATTGACACAAACGTAAATTAAAAAATTACTAGGATTTAAGCATGGAGCTTGAGAAATTAGCGAGGAATTACGAAAATCACCTTCCCAAGTCACCAAGGTGTGGAGCAACACTTATTTAACACAGGGCTACGCTGGCTTTTTACACTGTTCCTGGATCTGATGAAGACTTCTAAGCTTGGCCTACAAAAAGTGCTGGTTTTTAACTGGGAACCCCTTTAAGGAAGCAGATATTGTTGGTGATGGCTGTAGCATTTTAACACGGGAACACCACGGTGACTCCAAGCAGAATCTTTCCCATCTTTTCCAGTCTTCCCATTGTATGGCAGCGCAGAAGAGGCTTTCCCCTGCGAGGAGAAAAAAGGGACCTTCCTGCTTCCAAAGGGGTGTTTTTCCCTGGCCAGGAGCGCTGCCGGCCAGGAGATGTCACTGTTAGGCTTCAGTGGCTCTCCCCAGCCGGCGCTATTCAGGCAGGCATGGGGATAAATCCCGGGAAAAGCCTGAATAAGCTAAACATGACAAATGAAAAGGGAAAGGGGCGGATCGCAGCTCCTTTTCCAGCGCTCTGTGAACAGAGATCCGGCTGCTCAGAAGGCAAACAAAGGCCGGCATGCTCTCTCTGTTCAGGAAAGGCAGGGACCATGTGGTCACACGTTATCCCTCCCCCAAGTCCCGTGGAGAAGAGGCGGCCATCGGGCTGTGCCATTTGCTCCGAGCTGCCCATCTGCTGGGGATTCCTCAGTGTGAGAATGCAAGAAGCAGTTCCGGGCCAGTCTGAGAGATTTTCTCACACTTTCAGAGGATTCAGCTAAATCAGATAAATGAGCACTGATGGACAGCAGGAGTAAGACAAAAAACACATTTACCAAGAAGAGCTCTTCAAAACTCTGACCACAAAAGGGGTGATGCAGTATTTTCTGGGAGGAAAATCAGCTTTTTCAGTACAAGCTGTGAAAACTGCAGGCTTGATATCAACAATATTCCATTGGCAGCAATTTCCTCATTTCTTAAAAAGCTTCCAGACTAATCTCTAGTGCACTGACAAGCCAAGCAGACACAAGACAGCCTAATATTCACAGTTTAGATAGACCAGATGTACCTATTTTAGTGGAAAGTAACACTTCCTTGGAAGGTATCTTCTTTTTTAGCTCCTCCAAAGCTTCCATCAGGTTCTCTTTTGGTTGTCCAGGAAGCTCAAGTATAGACTTCCATCGTTTTATGTCTTCCACAACCACAACTCTCTGGGAAAGAGAAAAGCCATTAGGAAAGTGGAATATTGTTACAATAAATAAGGACACCACCTTCATCTCAGTTAATGGGGCTGTTATCAATGCATGAATTATTGATCATGGCACAGAATATATGATGGGTACTTGCTTGGAATTAGAAAACTCCTGCAAATCAAAGTAACCAGCAAACAAAGTGATAGGCTTCACCCTGGTTTGCCAAACTCTTTATGGGGATGTTGCAAATACCCCTTAGAAGTGTTCTGGATTTAAGGAATCCATTGTATAAATGTTTCTAAATAGGAAAAAGGATTAAGAGGGAGGTGGCTGATTATCCTTAGAATACAGCTCAGATCGACTTCAGAAGTAAAACAATGCCAGCAAGGTGAGAAATAAAGCATTAGGGAACACGAATGTAGACCTGAATACACTGCACAGTTGCAGTGTTTTTCACTGGTTTTGCCACAGACCTCGACAGAACAGACTGCAAACAGTGTAAGTCTCGCATTTGGGATGTGAGGCATCTTATCCAGCAGTGGTCAGACAACTGCAGTGCTTTATGCACCATTTTTGCCACACTCGATGAGCTTTTTTGTGCAGCAAATGTTTTGCTGTTGTGTTTCCGCAAGCAGGTGACCAAGAGGGGTTCAGCTCCCGTGCAGGTCTCACGCAAGACATCCATGAAATGAATGGAAGGGTTTTCCTTGCTGGAGAGGGATGAGATCCAGCTGGAAACGCCAAGGCTGGCGGTGTCACCGAGCTGTCCTCGAATCGTGTGCCCAGCCTGAGCCTGCACCGTGCAGTTATAACCCATGGAACCCCTTCCAAGGCAGCAGAGCCTTCTGCATCTGTACAACCACTTGCCTGTTCGGATCCCACCTAAACGCTGCAAAGATTTCACCGGTGCAGAACCGGTGTTCGCACACCGCTGCTCCCCCGCTGCCCCGCCCGTGCCACAGCCGGTGCTGCGGGAGGCAGGACCGGGCCGTGCCCCCGCTCCCTCCCGCCGGTGACCTGCCTTGAGGGACTCGAGGGTGACCTGCCGGCAGACGCGGGGCCCGGGCGCGGCCCGGCGGGGACTCTCTGGGCCGCGGGCGCGGCGCACCACGAACCGGTCCATGCTCGCCCTACCGCCCTCTCTCACGGAAGCCGCCACTGCAGCCCTGCCATTTCCGCCCGGTAGTTCCCACCGGGAGCGAGGCCCTATGGGATGGCCTGGGGTACTCCGCGGTGCGGACTACATTTCCCAGCAAACCTCGCGCGAGAGATGATGCCGCTGCCTCGCCCTTTCCGCACGGTAGTTCCCCCCGGGGGCGAGGCTTGACGGAATGGGCAGGGATGCCCCGCGGCGCGGACTACACCTCCCAGCAGGCTCCGTGAGAGGCACATCTCGCGAGAAGCCGCCGGCGGCCGGTGCCGGGGCGGAGGGACGAAGATGGCGGTGCGGCGGGGAGGCCTCCCCGTCCTCCTCCTGCTCCTGCCGCTGTTCCTGGTGATCCAGGAGGGAGCCGCCTCGGGGCCGCTCCCTGCCGCCTCCTCCGAGGCCTTCGACTCCGTGCTGGGCAACACGGCATCGTGTCACCGCGCCTGCCAGCTGACCTACCCCCTGCACACCTACCCCAAGGTACGGGCGGGCCCTTCCCGGCACCTGCGCCGCTTCCCTCTGCCTCCCCCGGGGCTGGCACGGCCCTTCCTTTGCCCCTGTCCCCCTGCAGCCCCGGCTCTTCTCTACAGACAGATACTTCGTTATGTAAATACATGGGTAGGCTGCTGCTTGCCAGTGAAGCGCTGTTGTCAAGCTACAGCTTTGTCAGTGCTGGGGTTTTTGTGGGTTTTGGGCGTTTGGCTGCTCTCTTTTTTCCCCTTTCCGTTCTTAAAAAGGCAGCTGTAATTTGTCTTGGGGCTGTTCCATATTTTGGGCACTGAAACAGTGCTGTGTTCGTGGCAGGGCAGAGATCCTGAGTCAGGGTGCCATTGTGGCACTTGGATGTTGAAGGATGAAGCATAAAATGATGACAAACAAGTAGCTCGTCAGAGCCTTCATGGGCATTTTTATCTCATTATAAAATACTGAAGTGGTATCTGATAGGAATTTAATTTCACCCCCCAGAATTTGCTGTTCATGCTTGCATGCCTTTGAACTACGGGCTTAAATTCGGAAAATCCGAGATTAAAAATCTCATATTTCCTTGTTCTTTGCTGCCAATAAACTTTATTGTCAGCTGTGTAGCAGGTGGATCTCTTACCCTGTATTTGGGGTTTCACAGGAAGGCAGCAGGCAAGTGGAGCAGTGCCAGGGTCAGGTAACAGGGCTTTGTCTGCTTCCCCATGGAATTCAATTGGATTTTTTAGCTGGGAAGAAGTAACAGGGAGTTGTGTGAAATATGAGTAAATATATGGCTTGTTTTGGTATATTGCTCTTGTTTCTCTTGCAAGACCTTTGAAGTTCAAGGAGGGTTGATATTTACGTGATTTTTATTGCACTCTTCAATTTTGTTACTTTACTTTTTGAATAAGAATTTTGTCATGTGTTGTTGGAGCTGTCCACTAATACAGTCACTTCTTTTACATGTAGTGTTTGTTCTGTTTGTTACAAAACTGCTGGTGAAATTGAAAGAAATTTGTTTTAGTTGTGAGTGGAAAATAAGACAAACTTCATTGAGACTGTGGTGGAAATATATCTGTACAGCTCATTTATCTGGATATCAAATTACAAAACGCTTTCTGTTACAGCACCACCCACCTTGTCAGCGTTAGGTTTTAGTTTATATTCGTGTTTTTCTACGTTTGTGCCTTTAAAGCTCTTGGTCTGAGTTACAATAGCCAGGTCATTTACAGCAGGTTGTACAAGAGGTGTGGTGTGTTTGGTTGTTGTTAAAGTAATTCAGAGCCTGTTTTGCACCTGTGCAGTTTGAGTGGCTGCTGGCTTCGAAGTTCTGATTCATGGGTCAGTGGCAGGGTGTGGTCAGTGGGACACTCCTGTGACAAAGGTTTTAGTTCACATCCGTCCCCCTGGAGCTGTGGGCAGAAGAAATACCAGGTGTAGGATTTCTATATTTGCCTAATTTTAAGAGTTGGCAGTGAGGAAGCACTTTTGCCCTTCAGTACAATATAATAAATAAACATTTGTGTTTGTGGAGCAAGCAGATAAGCAGGATGCTTTGTAGGACATCAGAAAATAATCTCTTTTTCTGATAGTTCTGTTGTAGCTCTGATTAGAGTCGTTAGTCTCTTTAGATACATTGTATTCCACTGTCAAAATTAGAGGATATCTGTCCTTTCCTGCTGGGTTTTACTATTTCAGTTCTGAGACTGGAGATTTTCTACTCTTTGTAGAGTTAAGCATCAATAAATCCTTTACAGCACTGTCTCTTGATTTCAAACACAACACTTTCTAAAACATTCATTTTACTTGTGGGTTGTGCGTCTGGAATTACAAAATAGCCTTTGCTGTTCCAGGTTTGCCCACTGCAGAAGGAACAGTTCAGTGTGAAATAAATCCAGAGGTTGTTAGTGCTGCTTGGCTTGGGTTTATTTCAGTTCATCCCATTTCACCTTGAGTTGGCTTGTGCGTCTGGTGGAGGGAAGGAGGACAAAACCACCCAACCAAACAATAAAAAATGCTAGTTTTCTGACAATTTGTTGTGGGCTGGAGGGATGCAAGCCTTTCCTTGTGCCTCCCCAGGAAGAGGAGCTGTTTGCCTGCCAGCGTGGCTGCCGACTCTTCTCCATCTGTCAGTTCGTGGACGATGGCGCCGATTTGAATCGGACCAAACAGGAGTGTGACTCTGGTGAGCCCTCAGACCCCTTCAGCATCCCACCAGCTGAAGACATAGTTCAGGGGAGAGCTGCAGTGCCTGAAAGGGTGGTGCTGAATTGGTGGCATTCTTTCGGTTGCTTTGGGTTTAACAGCTTCTTAAAATCTATATACGGGATATATATAAAAAAAGTCTCATGGGAAAGTTCTCTGTGAGTTCTCCTCAGTGTTGCTGAGTCTCTCTGTATTCTCTGTGAGTTTCTCTTCAGTGTTGCTGTTTTCCTAAATTTCTCAAGTATCATCAGTCTCTGTAAATAAATTAGAAATACTGCATTTTACTATAAACAGTTTGTCATAGAAAACACAATGCCTGTGGGAAAATTCAGGCAAATGAACCCTTGTCTTTTAATAATTCCCTGTGACAATCAGTCCCATTTGCCATTCCTGACAAATTTGTATATTGAAGTGAATTGTTCAGTGGAGCAAGAGCACAGATCTTAATGTGCCTTTTAACTTGTGGTCTAGCGTACATCTTAAGCTTTTTCTGCAGCTAAACCCTTGGGAATGAGGTACGTGTTTTGTTTGGAATAGGCTTTTAAGTACTGGTTACTAATCCTCTGAGGCTGTGAGTGTTACAGCAAAGATTTAACAGTGAAGACGAACTATAGAATCATTTGAGTTTGGAGAAGACCTTCCAGATCAAGTCCAACCATTCCTTCAGTACTGCAAAGCCCACCACTAAACCATGTCCCCCAGTGCCACACCTTTATGTCCCTTCAGGAATGGTGTGTGGTACAGCCAATTAATAGTGGTTTTGGAATTGTACAGGACTTTCTTCCAATAATACTGAGGAAGCTGATTCACAGTTTTATTCTGAAAGGAAAGGTAGGAACTCTGCACCTTTACTACCAATACAATCAAGCACCAGGCCAGCACCTGGGGAAGGTTTTTGTCCTCTCAGTAGCTCCTGAAGGGAAGAGAGCTTGTGGCCAACTCAGGTAGGGAAGCAGAAAGCCTGGCATGCAAAGATGCTAATGTTACAAAAGTGCAGTAAATACTCCAGAAATGGGCTAATGCTCCAGTCTGTCACACTGTGAGTAGCTGTGATACAGCCTGTCAGCATAGTTGTCAAACCACACACGAAAGAGTGCCATAAAGCAGGGTAATGCAGCAATAGAGCACACGCAGAGTAATGGAACAGTTGCTTCTTTCTGGTTTAACTCTCCTTTCTGGGATTGTTGTCTTTGCTGGCTTATGTTCTGTAATCTGCTGGTGGGTGCCCTGAGTGAGTGTTCTGTGCTTGGCAGATCCATCTTGGCTGCTCTGCTCAGTTCTGTCTCTGGTGCTTCCTGCAAACACTGACTCTGTGGCGGTTGTAGCATGGAATGGCTGCTCAGGTGCCATGAGCTGAACATTCAAATGTTTACTGCTGCTGCCATGCTTCCTGCCAGCTTCTTAGTCCTTGTGATGGTCCATTTGTTCCTCTGGAAAACTGGGGGAGCTGCTGTCCTCTGTGTTGCTTTTTGGTTTGATTCTTTAGTTTAGGTAATACGGCAACACTGTCCACTAAGCTTTAGAATTGTGCAGTAGAGTTTTGCCTGTGTATCATCTGCCTGATTTGTCCATGAGCAGAATAAATTAATTATTCTCTCCAAATAATTTAGATTTCTCGGTCTTTATGATCTCTAGAGAGCGATTAATATAAGCTCTTTCTAAAACAAAGAGTTAGCTTCATTTTTCATGAGAAATTATTCCATAATACTTTCAGTGCAGTTTCTGTATTAGCAGGAAATGCTCCTTTGATTTTCCTGTGTTACCATGGCTTCTGTTGTTACCTCAAAGGGATTTAATGGACTGATGGCCCCTCTATTCTCTTTAAGAGTCCATCTCTGTTGTTCTCTGATGTTTTATGTGATTTGTAAAGGAAAGCTATAGTGGTGGTGGGAGGATCAATGAGAACTTGCATCCCTGAGCTCAGCCAGGGTAACACTGGTGATCATTTGCTCTGATTGCAGCCAGATTTCAACTCCCTGCTCTGTTGAAGCTCTGATTCTGTCATTAGACTTCAGAGCAAATGCTACCCTGGGATTACCATAGCTTTCCCTGCAAATGAGATTGTCAACTGCT